ATTCATAATTTTAAATATAAGATTTATATTGCAACATTAATTGCAAAATTTAATAAAACTTTGATTTAATATGTTAAAGTTTAATTAAACATATTCATTTTGATGTAAAATTCAACGGGAATATTATTTTAATGTAAAATTTAATTAAACATTAATTTAATGTATAATTTATGTAGAATATGATTTTAACGTGAAATTTGTTATAGTAATGTTTTCGAAAGAGAGATAGACAGAGAGAGAGAGTGAGGGGGGGGGGGATTGAGAGAAAAATTCTGATCAAGAATCTTGTAAAAGTAGATTAAAAACAGAATTTCGTCTGAATATATAATTTTTCCTTTAAAAAATCATAAAAAGATTAAAAAAATATTGATTATTTAAAAATAGTAAAACTTTTCATATAAAATTCAATACAGTTGTATTAAATATTTCAAAAGAGGTTAATTTATATTTAATATTCGCAATTTTCTTTTCTATCACTTGCATTTTTAATGAACTATTATTTAAATTTCTTTTAATTATTCAAGTATGTAATTTTCCATATGAAAAATCTAATTGAAATATTAAATGCATAAATAATTTTATTTCGGTTTTTAATTTAAAATTGATTATTTCTAATTAATATATTCAGTATAGCAAGATGTTATAATTTAACTTAAAAAATAATTAAATAATTAATTGTCTTTTAATAATGTCAATTAATAACGATATTGTTTTTGAAATTTTATTTACAATTTTACCTTTTTTCTTAATTTCATTTTTTTCTCTTTTCGTGGTTTCACAATTTTTTTTTTTTTTTTTTTTTTTCTTTTTTCGTCTCAATTGAATTTATTTTATGAAAACTGAAGGTATCAATTTTGTTTCGATTCTCAATATATATCTATAATATAACGAGTCAAAAAATTGAAGTATAATTTTTATCATCATTTGCAATCAAACGAAAATCATAGCTCTTTTTCCATGATTTTCATGGAAATTGACAACAATACTCTCGAATGTGAAACGTGTGTGTATTCAAGTAAATAATATGTGCGCTAGTCAAAAAAAAAAAAAAAATTGAAAAATTCATTTTGCCCGAAATTTTTTTTTATTTTTTAGTTAAAAATTTTTTTTTTTTTTTTAACTAGAAAATAAGAAATTAGAATTTTTTTTTTAATTATTAATTATTAATAAACAATTAAATTAAATAATAAATTAAGTAAATAAATTAAATTTAATAATGAATTTATTTTTAAGACGTGTAGTTATAAAAATTCAGATTTCAAAATTTAGATAAACATATTTATCAAATTTAAATCCAATCAATATACAAAAGCTCCTAGTATCGTACTTGTTTTCCATAATAATAATACACAAATTTTCCTCTCTTCTATATATTGGCAAAACTAAAGAGATTAATTCGAGGTAATCCGGGAATTTATGTTATTTATGATACTCGTACAATTTTCAAAAAGAAAATAAACGATTTTCTTTTTATTATATAAATATTTTTTTTAAAAAAAAAAGGTTTTATTTTTTTTCCTATTCTACATACCAATATGTATTTTCCAATATTTAATTTCCGCTAGTTGCGTTGAAAATTAGTTTTAAATAAAACACAACGTATAATAATAAAAGGGACGCGGATGATCCCGGAGAAAATTGAAACGAAATTCTCGCTTTATATATATGTATATATATATATGACAATAGAGAAGAGAAGCTTTTCCGCTTTAAACGAATCACTCCTGTGGGAATTCTCTGTTCGGCTGCCCTACAATAGACTCTCTGGGAAATTGATCCAAAAGGGGAATAATAACGAGACATATTTTGAATTTCCAGCCGCATACTAACGCTTCGTAATTAGTATTGGTGAATTTTAATATATATATATAATGCGAGGCGGAGAAGATAAAATGTCCATTCTATTGGAAAATTACTTTCTTTTGTTTTTTTGTAATTTTGCCATTTTGTTATTAATAAATTCATTTATCGATTAAATTTACTGTCACTTAATATTTTAAAATTAATTATTTTTTTTTTTCAAACAGAGATTTAATATTTATTTATTTAATATTTATTAATATAAAAATTTTATTACACTAAAAATAGAAATATTTCAACGAAAAGCGGCGGTCTAGTTATTAATTAATTATTCAGTAACTATAATTTCATTACATTGAATTTCATTGGGACGAATTTGCATTTATCACATTTTCCAAGCTCTTGAATTTTAATATAACCAAATTTACATTCGACGGAAGCAACAAATTGCGTTGTTTTCTCTTTTGTTATTTACATTTGTGTCATTTATATTTAAAAAAAAAAATTCTTTAAACTTTTGTCTAAAGGAAATAAATTTTCAATTTTGATTTATAATTGTAAAATTTATATTTTTTTGTCTTAATAGTGTGCTAATTAACAAAAAAAAAAAATTTTTTTTTCTTATCAAAGAAAGTTGTGAAATATTTTTTTTTTTTTTTTATTAAAAGAGTAAAGAATTTTAATTAAAAGCTCTTGATTGGACAAAAATCAATCGTTACAGCATTATTATCTTCCTTTTCTCTCTTGTTATATATTCAGAGAGAAGCTAACAAGCTTTTGATCGTTGTAGTTTTGAAAGTCGTAAGTGTTCTACAAGCTCTTATATGCGCCTGCACTTGTTCAAACTTTGACAAGCTTGAATCCATAAGGTAACTTTAGTCGCAGCTTGAAGGCGCTTTAATTCATTAATTAATCTCCGATGACACGAACTGGTAGTAGTCGATATTAATCATCGTTTGCGTTGATTGACATAAATTATCCGCGTGAAAGTTTATTATAAATAAACTCTCTTCAAAAATTTTAGGAGACAAAAAAATTTTAAATCCTCCTTTTCAATTTGTGTGGTGAAAAAAAAAATTAACATTCAGAAAAAAATGTATAGACAAAAATAATTATTAAAATAACAATTATAGATATTACAGAAATAATAATAATAATAATAATAATAATAATAATAAAAAAAAAAATTAACATGGTCCAGTGGCTTTACCACTGGATTTGTAATATCAGGAACCGGGTTCGATTCTTCCTACCTGCGATTTTTTCTTTCATAATAAAAATGAATAAATAGAATTAAAAAAACAAAAGGAAAAGAAAAATAAAAATAAATAAAAAAATTAAAAAAACAAAAAGAAAAGAAAAATAAATAAAAAGAAATAAATTAAATTAAAATTAACAAAAACAAAAAGAAAAGAAAAATTTAAAAAAAAATAAAGAAAGAAAAATAAATAAATAAAAATTAATTTGGTCCAATGGCTTCCCTACTGGATTTGTAATATCAGGAGCCGGGTTCGATTCTTCCTACCTGCGGTTTTTTCTGTCAAAATAGAAAATATAATTACTTATAAATAAGAATAAAAATAAACAAAATCAATTAAATAAATAAAAATTAAATTAAAAATAAAAAAGTAAATAAAAATAAATAAACTTAAAAAAAAACAAAAATTAAAAAATATAAAAATAAATAAATCAAAATTTTGGTTGGTCCAGTGGTTTCCCTACTGGATTTGTAATATCAGGAACCGGAGTTCGATTCCTCCTGACTGCGGTTTTTTCTGTCAAAATAAAAAATATAATTACTTATAAATAAGAATAAAAATAAACAAAATCAATTAAATAAATAAATAAAAATTAAATTAAAAATAAAAAAGTAAATAAAATTAAAACAAAAAATAAAAAATATAAAAATACATAAATCATAAGTTAGGTTGGTCCAGTGGCTTCCCTACTGGATTTGTAATATCAGGAACCGGAGTTCGATTCCTCCTGACTGCGGTTTTTTCAGTCAAAATAAAAAATATAATTACTTATAAATAAGAATAAAAATAAACAAAATCAATTAAATAAATAAATAAAAATTAAATTAAAAATAAAAATAAATAAAAATAAAATTAGAAATAAAAAAATAAATAAAAATAAATTTAAAAATTATAAAAATAAATAAAAATTTAGGTCGGTCCAGTGGCTTTTCTACTGGATTTGTAGTATCAGGAACCGGAGTTCGATTCCTTCTGACTGTGGTTTTTTCTTTCAAAATAAAAAAAATATAATTACTTATTAATAAAAACTAAAATAAATAAATAAAAAAATATAAAGGAATAAATAAAAATAAAAATATAAAAATATAAAAATAAAAATAAAAATAAATAAAAATAAAAAATAAATTAAAAAAAAGTGAATGAATATAATAAAAAAATCAATGAAACAAAAAGAAAAATTTCTTAAATACGAATCGTAAAGGAAATAAAAAAAATTAAATGAACATTTGGTTAAGCGACATCCCTTTGCTTAAAAGTCTAGACGATTAAATTAGAAGACGTTGTTTGAAAGGCTTTCTCTCTCTCTCTCTCTCTCTCTCTCTCTCTCTCTCTCTCTCTCTCTCTCTCTCTCTTTCTTTCTTTCTCTCGCGAAAAGTATATTATCTGACTCGGTTGATGAAGTTGAAGAAATCGCAAAGAAGAAGTCCATTCTTTCCATCAATGGTTTGTAACGGTAATTTCATTTGAAAAACTTTTCGAAGCCGATGCACCATCATCAGTTCTTCTCTTCAGTTCCTTGCCACCCCCTCCCCTCCACCCAAAGTCTCGCGTAATTAGTTTAGTTTTCCAGTAACTCTCTCTCTCTCTCTCTCTTTTTGCGCTATAAAAATATCGTAACTAATTTCGCAAGATTCGTTTCAACTGCAATGAAAAACAAAACTTGATGTATATATCCACAAAAAAAAAAATTGGCAAAAAGGAAAAAGAAGAAAAAGAAGAAGACTCGAGAAAAATACTTTATATTTTACAAAACAAAAAAGAAAAATACTTGAAAATGTTGTAATTTAATAGAGAAAAAGTTAATAAACTCAAAAAAAAATAGTTTTTTTTTTTATATATTTAATTTTTTTAAAAAAATTTAAATTAAAAATTTTTTAAAATAATTTGTTATCGTAAGTAATTGAATAATTATTTAATTACATTATTATTCTTTTGTTACAGGTGAGTTTCCATTGGACTTGAATAATTTAAAAAAAAAAAAAAAACTAAATCATCTTCGGTGAGTCGACTATTTATTTATTTAAATTATTCAATTATTTTATTCAATCATTTAATTTAATTATCCATTTACTTTATTCAATTATTTAATTTAATTATTCATTTATTTTATTTAATTATTTAATTGAATTATAAATTTATTTTATTTTATTATTTAATTTTTATAAAATCAAAACTTTTTTTTATTTTATAAAAAAACAATATTTTTATTTAAAAAAAGAAAATCACAGTTTGTTAATTTTTTTTTTTTTTTTTTTAGTATAAAAATAAAAGAAAATTCAGGTGACTTTCGTATATTTAACCCAGTGACTTAACGAAGCAATTAGAAGAGAATTTCATTCGTCGCGAGATATCGGTTATCCAAAGAATTTGAATATTTCAGAAAGTTGTAAAATGCTCCTCCCCCCCCCCTTTCCCGCGACAATTCGTTTGTGAACTCGCGGAATGAATTTACAAGTTACAGAGATTTTACGCAAGCTTTTAGCAAAATTGTTAAAATTGTCACTCGTAAAAAAAGGTGTGAGTGAGTGACACTTTTATTGAGAGAGTGTAAAATATCACAAACCACGTTGAAAATTTAGAATTTTTTATTTAAACCAAATTTTCTTTTCAATTTTTATTTTGTTTAAATTATTCCTTGAGTAGAATTTATTAATTTTTTTTGTTTTTAATTTTTTTTTTTTTTTTTTTTTTTTGAATTAATTTGTTAGAATTTTTTTGTTTTTTCCTCGGGTTTTATGTATGGACAAAATTTTTTTTCTTTTTTTCGTCTAAAATCTGACGAAATTTTTTTTTCTTCTATTTTTTGCAAAGCTTTGTATTCATTAGGTGCACTCGTCTTGTCTTAATCTAAACAAATTGACTTTTATCCCCTACACTATTATCCGATGAAACTATGTATATATATATATATATACATGTGCCACACGTAATGAGAAAAACTTGCCACCTTGTTAAAAGCCAGCAACTTGCTATACGAAACAAGCTTTTTTGTTAAAATTTTCCAATCCTTAGAAAGACGACAAAACATTTTATATATATATTTTTTTACTTGTTTCAACATTCGTTGTATGCTTCAAATATTCATAATTAAGGAAATTTTTCAATATTTTTACAAAAAAAAAAAAAAAAAAAAAAATCTGATTTTATATAAATTAAGTAGTAGAAGTCAATTATTAATCAGACCTGTTTTTTCTGAAAAAAGGTCAATATAATGATATTTTATATATTATTCTATACCGTGGATGTACCAGTTACCGTCCATTTTACAAATATCTCGTATAGTAATTTAAATTATTTTTTAACAATAATAATTTATTCCTTTTGGCACGCAATCGACTTATTAGTTTTAAGTAAACAAATAAAAGAAAATAATTTTTTTTATAAATGTTATTTTGAAAATTAAACTGGACGGAAACTAGGTCTTAGGTGGACAGTAACTAGGACATCCACGGTATTTATTAAATATATATAGGAAAAAGTATACAATACCAGAGACGGAAATTGAAATTCAATTTCATTAATCCAAGTAGAGATGTCATATTGTCATATTTAAAATTATTACCATTTGTTTTTTCAGGCAAATTTGAAAATAGAATTTTATTATTTCATTTTTCTCAAAAATTATAAAATTTAATAATAATTCAATTTTTTTTTTTTCATTTTTATAATAAAATGTAATATTTACAATTGAAATATTTTTGTTTTAGAAAAATATTGAAAGATATATCATAAATTTAGAATAACAATTTTTTTTTTTATGCGTATAAAAAGTGAATTTTTTTTTTTTTGCCATTTAAGGTTCTGAAGTCTTTTGAGGTGCTCGGCATTCGTCGCCACACCTTCTCATGCATATTCTCGAGGTTTCAGTTTACTATATATATGTATATATAGTTTATTGTATCCATGGTATATTCTACACACGCGTGCTATTAATTTTACTTGTTGGTTCGCTTAATATTGCGATCGAAATATAATACACATCTTCGCAAAATGATAACGTCCTAGAAAGCAGACTGTCCGATGTAAATCACCGACACACACACACACACATATCTCTTTTAGGTATAGCTTTCGAATTATACACTAAATCATATTGCTATTCGATCGATGCTTAAAACTATTGCCATACCGAAAATCCAATAAATATTGAATGAAAATATGACTCAAATATCAATTGATAAAAAAGAATTTCCAATAAATGTCAAATAAAACGTTTATAGTAAATTGACCCAAACAATAAAATATGTCACATACAATTTTGCCACTAACTTGCTTAAGGGATTAAAAAATATTCTTATTATTTGCTTTTTTTATATTTTTTAAAATAATTCTTTTATTTTTTATATTTTTTTATATAATAATAAAAATAATAATAATCATAATAATAATAATAATAATAATAATACAAATGACCTTTGTCGTTGAGCTCTATTTATTGAAAATAATAATTAACCCATTTTAAAAATTACAGACTTCACAATTATAAAGGACGATAATGTCATTATAGTGACGTAACGTTGACCAATTTTCACTAAATGTATTTTCAAACGAAAACTAAATGACATTACACAGCACTATAACAATAAGTGAATTTTCCACCACAAAGAGTGACAGAGAGAGAGAGAGAGGGAGAGAGAGAGGAAGTGCTTCAAAAATGACTAGTTTTTTCCACTATTTTTTCTTTTTTAATTTTTATTTTTTTTAGAAATAAAATTTACATACACATTTATAACTACTTGGTACCGCTAAATACTTGATACTACTAACTGGTATCACTACTAGTTTTTGATACTAATTGGTACCACTAGTAGTTGGTACCACTAGTAGTTGGTACCACTAATAGTTGGTACCACTAGTAGTTGGTACCACTAATAGTTGGTACCACTAATAGTTGGTACCACTAGTAGTTGGTACCACTAGTAATTCGTACCACTAGTAATTCGTACCACTAGTAATTCGTACCAATACAAATTGGTACCACTAGTAGTTGCTACCGCTACCAGTTGGTACCACTGGTAATTGGTACCGCTACTAGTTGGTATCAATACGAATTGGTACCACTTGTAATTGCTACCACCACTGGTAATTGGTACCACTAGTAGTTTGTACCGCTACTAGTTGGTACCCCTTCTTGTTGTTACCACTGGTAATTGGTACCACTAGTAGTTGGTATCGCTACTAGTTGGTACCACTGGTAATTGGTACCGCTACTAGTTGGTATCAATACGAATTGGTACCACTTGTAATTGCTACCACCACTGGTAATTGGTACCACTAGTAGTTTGTACCGCTACTAGTTGGTACCACTACTTGTTGGTATCACTACTAATTGGCACGGTTACGAATGGGTACCGCTACTAGTTAATACTATTACAAATTGGTATCGCTACTAGTTGGTATCAATGCAAATTGGTACCAATCGTAAGTGGTACCGCTACTAGTTGGTATCGCTACTAGTTGGTACCACTAGTAATTGGTATCACTACGAATTGGTATCGTAGTAGTTAATAATATTACGAATTGGTACCACTTCGAATTGGTACCGCAATAGTTGGTACCATTATGAATTGGTACTAGCAGTAGCGGTACAAATTCGTAGGGATCCCAATTTATAGTGGTGGTACTAATCAAGAGTGGTACCGATTCGTAATGGTACCAACTAGTAGGGTTATTCGTTGTTAGACCAATTTGTAGTTGTACGAATTATCAGTGGTGGCAGTTACTAGTGGTTCCAATTACTAGTGGTATCAATTACCAGTAGTACCTACTACTAGTGATACCAATTACCAGTATTACCTACTACTAGTGATACCAATTACCAGTATTACCTACTACTAGTGATACTAATTCGTAATGGTACCAACTAGTAGTGGTACTACAAGTAGTGGTACTATTAGTAGTTTTATTTAACAAGTTCTCCACCAGCTAGTGTAAAAATTAATTATATTTCCAAAATATTTTGTCAAAAATTGCATCTTTAGGCACTAAAAATATTTTTATTAAAAAAAAAAAAAAATTGGTGAACGTAAACAATTTTGAAGTGGTCTTATTTGCAAGTACAATAATTTTGAAGGGTTTATTATAGTACGATATCATTTGTGTAAATTATGGAGGTAGGTGTTCAAGTAACTTGTCTACAGGAAGCCAAAACTGGTTCATGGTGTCTCATATACATATTCAGATATTGGCCATGGTCTCTCTCTCTGTTTGCTGCATGAAATGAACAATGTCAAAGGAATATATAAACCAAGTGGTGCCACGGTCTGCTCTATATATATACATGTCCATGCATATATGCAAAACGCATGTATAATCCGTACATCATGATAGGGGGTCAAGTTGTGTTCTACTATCGCACTGTTCACCCCACTGAACGCATCCCTTGACAGTAGCCACTAACCTTTAGATATCTGCTCATCTGTTCTGATTTACAGTGTGTGCATTGCAGTAAAACAGTCCGATTCATCATCAAAAAAAAAAAAAAACTTTTTCTTTTTGCAATTACTGAAACAAAAACAAAAAAATACAAAATTTTATTCTCAGAAATTATCAACAAAAACTTTTTATTATTATAAATAAATTGAATTATTAATTTAGTTTATTGTTTCAAAAATTAAATTTAAAAAATAACTTTACATAATTAGTTTTATCTTTTTAAAACCGATTTCAAAAATTCTGCACAAGAATCAAATAGCATTTTCCCAATTGTGAAAAGTCTTCCTTTCGTTTTTTTTTTTTTTTTGATACTCATCGAAATGCAAATTCGATTTAATTCTCCTCGGGTGTCGGGGGATAAAAGCGTACGTGTGCTGGCCATTCGCGAAAGAAACATTTTTAGCCTGATTGGATAAAACCCACTGTAAAAGTATTAGGTCGTTTAGCCGTTTAGCCCGAAGGCCATTCAACTCGTATTACAAAAAAAAAGAAACAAAAAAGAAAAGAAAAATATAAAATAAATAGAGAATACAAACAAAAAAAAGTGTGCGAGCTTGATCTCTG